TTCACATGTATAAACAACCACCCTTTCCCCTCAAAACCCTAGAACCTATTTTGGTGAATTTTTGAGAGCTTTGAGAGTCAAAATCAAGAGGAGGGTGAGTCCGTGAGCTTTTTAACGAAGGAGGATCATACTTCTCCTATTTTTTGGGGAGCTCAGCATGTTTTGAGGCGAGTTTCATCTCTTCCAACCTCATCCCCTATTTATTTTCGATTCTAAATGGCTTTATCGGATTTCTAAACCTAGTTTATGTATAAAGATCACTTCTTTTTGAACCGTATGATATAAAGATCTAATCTTTTTTATTTAAAAAGATATAAAATGGATTTTTAGATTTGGGTTTAAGTTTTGAACGTCATTTAACACGAATTTTGATTAAAGTTAGTTGTTTTTATGATGATCTTACATATGTTAACATGTTAGGGTTTTAGATTATTTTCCCAAATTTGTATGTGTGTTTTCATGTGGTAGAAATAACCCTAAATATGGTGATTTAAGTTTCATACATGAACTTATTTGAGAAATTTTGAGTTTTGATAAATTTATGCAAACATACCTCTTTTTCCCAGGAAATTGGATTTTTGCCCAGATCGGTCGACTGATCATTGGTGATCAGTTGACAGATGTTGACAATCAGGGTTTTGGTTAGCTCGGGTCGGTCGACCGGTCATAGACCACCAGTCGACCGATCAAGGTTGTTGTGCACGTTTTGTGCAAGCCATCAATTGACTGATGGCACATGATCGGTCGACTGGTCTGGGTTGCTTTGTGCATATTAGTTTTATTTCACGTGTTTTGTTCGCACACACAAAGTACGAATCACACATCGATATACGTGCATCATATACGAGAATATGTGTATTGGAGTTTGAGCATGCATAAGCTTTTGGAGGTGCGTAATTCTATATTTTGACTTTGTCATGTTAGAAAATAACATATATTGCATTTCATGATTGTTTGGATGCTTGAGTGGGTTAGTTGGTATACGCAATGAGACCGTGGTAGACTACACCTAGGGTAGCTAGTTGGTATACTGTAATGAGACCATAGTAGACTACACTCCATTGTGCATCATTATTTTCGGAATAGGGTGACATACCTATTTCCGCAGGGCGATTGAGTAAGGTAGGTGATGCCACATGATATTGTGAGCGTCTTACTCAACATCATTGTTCTGATAGAGGATTATACAGACTGCATTCATGCTCCC